AGGGATGTCTAACTGCTGGTTTAGGCCCGATCCCTGTGGGACATCCCCCAAGGGGTCCCCAGATTGGAGAGGGTGCAGGCTGGGCTGAGGAAACCTCCTCTCCCCCTGTGCATGAATTTTGTGCATCGGGCCACTAGTTTTTCATAAAGGAAAGAAGGAGGGGTGTGTGTGAAAAAGAATAGGCAAGAAGAAAGGTTTTATGTACCATAAAGTACCATTGGGTTATGAATTTATCCCCTTTCATGTCTTTTAGAAGAGCTGAATGTAAGTTTTAAAAAATTTTGTTTTTGCCCTAGCTGGTTTGGCTCAGTGGATAGAGGATCGGCCTGCGGACTCCAGGGGCCCCGGTTCGATTCCGGTCAGGGGCGTGTACCTTGGTTGCGGGCACATCCCCAGTGGGGAGTGTGCAGGAGGCAGCTGATTGATGTTTCTCTCTCATCGATGTTTCTAACTCTCTATCCCTCTCCCTTCTTCTCTGTAAAAAATCAATAAAATATATAAAAAAAAATTTGTTTTAGACAGTTACCACATGACCCAGCAATTTTACTCCTGGTATATAACTGAGAAATGAAAACACACATCTATACAAAACTTGTCATGAATATACACAGAACTTTTTATAATAGCCAAAAGGTGGAAACAACCAAATGTCCATCAACTGATGGATTAAAAAAACATGGTATAACCATACAATGAAATATTATTCAGCCAAAAAGGGAATAAAGTACTGGTACATGTACAACATGGATGAACCCCAAAGGACACTAAGCTAAGTAAAAGAAAAAAGTCTCGAAAGATCATATGTGACTCCATTTATATACACTATCTGGAATAGGCAAATCCATTAGGCAAGAAGTAGATTAGAGACTACCTGGACTAACAGTAGCTAACAGGTGCAGGACTTCTTTTTAGGGTGATAAAAACAGTCTAAAATTGTGCTGTTGACTCCCCTAAAAAACATGAAATCGTACATTTTAAGTGGATGTATTATCTGGTATGTTAATTTTATCTCAAAAAAGATGTATTTTTTAAAAAAATCAGC